CTTTTTGCTTTACTCATTTTTATCTCAAAATATATCATAAAAGTCCTTACAATAAGGTCTCCCTTATTTTGACCAAAAACAAAATCAAACAGTGTCGGCAAGGATTTATACCTAAATTCGATTTAGAAATATATATGCTACTTACACATATATTAAAAATTTATATCTAATTTGCTAGATACATGTCTATCTAAAAATATAAAGATTCATATATTTTATTTGATAATTAAAAAACTACATGAACTTTATCCATGAAAAGTACTTTATAGGCGGGGCAGAGATGTGCTCTATTATTCAAGGGTATGGTTATGGCGGCAACACAGCCTAATATTAAAATTGTGTTAATAATGATTTTATGTGATTTAAAGTATTGAGAACTTTTAGTTCTTGAATTTTTAATTTTAAAAATTTTTAGTTTTTAAATTATTTTTAGTTTTTTTTTTTTGTCTTTAAACTATAAAGGATGTATTTTTTTATCATTATATTATTAATCTATTAAGTCTGTTAAAATATGTACATTTTAAATTCTTAAACTTATAATATATACACATTTTTAACATGTAAACTTGTAAGTTCAAGGACCAAAAATATACATGTATAAACAAATTTAATATATTAACTAATTGAATGATTTAAAAAATATATCTTTTATAGTTTAGGGAATAAAAAATGCAAAAAATAATTTAAGGACTAAAAGTATTCAAAGTTAAAAGTTTGAGAACAAAAATTGGTATTTAACCTAAAACTTTTCTTTTGATTTTTGAAAATATTAATTTTTTGGGTACAACCTCCTACAATCCAAATGCCACATTGAATCTTAACTAATCTAGAATCGAGTTGTGTTGGATCCCATAAAAGGGAAGCTTGCTTAATACTTATTTCTTTATTCACAAAATTCAAACTTGAGACTTGTTTAAAAAAATCAAATTTTTTTCACTCGAGCTAATGAGTCATTAGTTTTAAAAATATTAATTAAAATATAATTTTTTATATAGATACTCTAAAAAAATTTAAGAGAATGACTCGTACCATACTAATTCAGTTATGATTTATTTGTATACAATTCTTATATGTATATATATAAAATCTTGATTATTCATCTCTTCATTATAAATAATTAAGATTTATTCACTTTTTATCATTTTTTTAAAAGATAATTATCTTTTTATTT